ACTGAGTTGGCTTTTCTCATCAGGTGGCCAAAGTATTGAGCTTCTGCTTCAGCATCAGTCCTTCCAATGAATATTTAGGACTGATTTCCTTTAGGAAGGACTAGTTGGATCTCCTTGCTGTCCAAGGGACTCTTAAGAGTCTTCTCCAACACCACCATTCCAAAGCATCAATTCTTCGGCACTCAGCCTTTTTTATTGTCCAACTCTCACATCCATATGTGACTACTGGAAAAACCATAGCTTTGACCATACAGATTGGAGATTAAGGAGGACTTAATCTCAGAAAAAGAATGAAAAGAAATTAGTGTGATAAAGAGCTGAGAAAAGTCAAGCTCTGATTTTCATTCATTCATTCACTGATTCATTATGAGTTGGATATTGGCTCAGATGCTGTGCATACAAAGGAAAAGACTTAAAAGCAGCTTGTATGAGGCAGTCACATAAGGTGAGAGGCCCCCACTCTAAGAGACCATCAGAGTCCCATGAAAGGAGCAGTGGGCCCTGGCAAAGGATGAGCAGCTCCACCACGAGAGGTGAAGGGCTTCACAGTGTATCAGCGTCTATGACCCCATCTCTCCAAAAGGCCACACGTGATTGACTTTGAAGGATTATTCTCAAGGTAACCATGGTACCTCAATAAAACTATTTTTTTTTAAGACGAGAATTATTTTCATCTTGTAATTTTTGGTCCTGTATTTTTTTCTTTTGTTAGTTTCAACTGCCTAAAAAGTAATACCAGTAGAAGGCCTTAGGACACTTCAAAGAGATTTTTCCCCCCCGCTGGGATATGGACAAGAGGTGAGAGGAAAAGTGGTGTAAGTTAGAGTTATTGGCTCAAGAAGGAAAGAGCCTCAGGGAAGGCTCCTGCCAGCAGATAAAGGAAGGAGGCAGGTGGGTTCCCGGGGGAGCACAGAAGGGCAGAGACAGGAAGAGATGGGCTCAAGGCTCTGGTTATTTCCTCACATCCTTCTTCCCTCTAAGCCCCTGCTCTCCTCTTCTGAGACCTCCTTTCCCATGCTTCTCAGCCACAGCTCTCCATTTCCCTAGAGACACTCAGAGAAGAAAGCTTTCAGATATGGAACCAGTCTGCTTGGAAGCTGTTAGGTAATAGCCTGCTGGGTGATATCCCTCCCAAGCATCCATCTTTAGAAGGAAAGTGCTCAAAACAAAAACCTTCTAGCCTGAAGTGACTGCCTATTCAGTGACAGAATGGCAAGCATCTGTAGGCCATGCCATGCCATGCTAAGTCACTTCAGTCGTGCCTGACTCTTTGTGCGACACCATAGACTATACCCGCCAGGCTCCCCTGTCCATGGCATTCTCTAGGCAAGAATACTGGAGTGGGTAGCCATGCCCTCCTCCAGGGGATCTTCCTGACCCAGGGATCAAACAAGTGTCTCATGTCTCCTGCACTGGCAGGCAGGTTCTTTACCACACGCGCCACCTGGGAAGTCCAGGCATTGGAGGCAAATGCCAGCTCCTGAAGTCTATGAATCACCCTATGTATGCAGTGATGTACTGCATCATGAGACTGACTTGGCCAAAGAGCAGAGAAACCTCAAAACCAGGGAACTGATTACAGTTTATGGCAAGCATGCCTATGTGAGAACAGAGATCCAGGTGGTTGGGGGAGGGTGGTGGAGAGAAATGGGAGAGTGCTGTTCTTGGGGAACTGTGGTTGTGGGAAGGTAAGTCTGGTTCCCAGGGGTGCCTCCAAGTCAAGTGGGCCTTGATCCTCATTTCAGGTCACTATTTTCTTGGCAGAGTTCAACTGGCTGAGGTTGGTGAACTTTAAGGCACAAGCAAAATAATAGCCATATTTCTTTGAATGCAAGTTCTTATTCTTCATGGGTTTAAATTTCTGTATTTTCTTCAATTTTTTTCAAACAGTACCTCTTTAAAGTCCAGAATATTATGGCATCTCTAACTTATTATGCATTTTCCCTCATCTTTCTTTTAATATGAGCAATTAAAATATAGCAAATGAGGGGAAAATCTGTAATAGCAAAAGGACATCATTGATCTACCACTATCAGGCTCATTCATGCCTACCAAGATACAGAAAGAAAGTGAAGTCGCTTAGTCGTGTCCGACTCTTTGTGGCCCCATGGACTGTAGCCCACCAGGCTCCTCCAGCCATGGAATTTTCCAGGCAAGAGTACTGGAGTGGGTTGCCATTTCCTTCTCCAGGGATCGAACCTAGGTCTCCTGTGTTGCAGGCAGATGCTTTACCGACTGAACCACCAGTTCAGTTCAGTTCAGTTCAGTTGCTCAGTCGTGTCCGACTCTTTGCGACCCCATGAATCGCAGCACGCCAGGCCTCCCTATCCATCACAAACTCCCGGCCTCCCTTAAACACTTGGGTTCTGTAAAATAATGCCATTTGCAGCAATATGCATGCAACTAAAGATTATCATACCAAGTAAAGTAAGTCAGAAAGAGAAAGACAAATACCATATGATATCACTTATATGTGGAATCTAAATTATGACACAAATGAACCTATCTATGAAACAGTAACAGACTGAGGGTCATAGAGAACAGTCATGTGGTTGCCAAGGGGAGGGGCTGGAGGAGGGATGGAGTGGGAGAGCGGGGTTAGCAGATGTAAGCTATTATATATGGAATGAATAAACAACAAGATCCTATTGCCTAGCATGGGGAAGTATATTCAGTATCCTATGATAAAACATAATGAAAAAGAATATAAAAAAGAAATATCTGTATATATATAATTTAATCACTTTGCTGTTCCTCAGAAATGAATACAATATTGTAAATCAACTATAGTTCAATAAAAAATAAATACTTGCATATGTTAGTTATGGGACAGGTGGTAGGAAATCACATCAGATTTCCATACTAGATCTCATTTGGATAACTAGAAGTATACTATCAGAAGAGTTGGAATATAACATTCATTTTATTCTTGTTTCTATTCTTATATTCACTTGTACATTATATTTCCAGGTAGTGGACTTCCTTAGGAGAGGCACTCACAGTGTCTAAAATTTTAAAATCCATCAGATGGAAAACTTGTTTTTTAGTAGACCTGTACTCATTGGTTCTGCTGAAGGAGAGAATGCAGAAGTGTGTGCAGACTGGGGTCTGTCTCTAGATGGATGCATCTGTGAATCTCTACAGTGAGACTTCTCTGTGTGGATGTGCTTCTAAATCTACTACAATGAGATTACTGAAAGAAGACACCAGGGGCCTTCCCATTGGTAAGAAGATTAGGAACCAAACATTTCTTGTGAACATCCGTGTGAACTACTCTTTATCTTGGTATAATCCTTCTTAGTTTAGCATCCAGCAATCTTCAAATGATTCAGCTACATTAGCAGAGCTATTTAGAGAACATTTACAGCTCGGCTTTTTGAAATGCTCTTCCCGGTATTCCCAAGCAAAAGCGAAAATTCTATTAGTTTAAGCTCCATCTATTTCACAACACCCCCAACCCTTATTGCTAATTTGGCCCCATTTCTGAATTTTCAGAGTTGGCCCAAATTATTTTTTAGCTTTGATTCCTTATGAATCCTCTAGCAATACCCCATGAGGTAGCAGGAAATTACCTCTTTCTGTTTACATTTTCCATCGTTACACTGATAACAAATAAGCCTCCTGAAGGCTTTAGCAACAGGTCTGAAAGCTGCCATGGTTTTGTTATAGAAATTCCACGGCTTGGTTCCATTCTGCTGCCTGTCATGTGGAACCACCGCTTCCTTTCCCAGCCCTGCCACTTGACTACCACAGTGATGAGCCCAGAGCAGTACATCAGTTCTGAACACTGCACAGACTAAGATAAATGGAATTTATCAGGCTGGACTGCTTGTTTATTCCAACTTCTCAAAATATAAACACAGAGACAAAAATGTATACTGGTCAACCTGAGCACCAACTCTCCTATCACCATGCTAGGTTGCAAAGTGACAGCTGGTGACTTTTGTGAGTGGCATAATGACATTCGCCTGGCTGGAACATCTCCAGTGCTGGGCTTAATTATTCCCAAGCCTTGGCTAGACAACGAGAATAAGCAAAATATTCTGAGTCTTAAAAGGGATTGCTGAAAGGTCAAGCTAGCGATTCTCCTTTTTAATATTCAAAACGAGGAGTGAAATTGGAGGTGTTGATCCTATATCTAGCCTTCAGGCTATCAGCAAAAACCTTTTTGAAATTTTCATCTGATAGCGGGGTTCAGGGGAGGTTTTACATTTTTCAGGGCTGCCACATGTGCCTGGGAAAAGAAATCGAAGCTGAATCCTTAAGTCCTCACTATGCCACTATCCTGCTGAGAGTCAGTGGACCTGCTGATCGTCACTGGACAAGTGACAATCTCTCTGTGCTTCGGGTCCTTCACCAGTAAAATGAGAAGTTTGGAAGAACGACCTTTAAGATCTCAGACAGCTCTGAAATTCTCTGAGCCTGTGAGGGGAAGTTTAAGATAATGAGGCTGGGTTTCAGTTGTGGTGCGTGAAATGGCATCAGTTTGTTTTATGTGGTACATTATAAACCAGTCCTTTTAATGCAAGTCACAGCTATTTTTACTAGACTAGTCAAGGAAGGAAGCCTGTTCAACACCTCTTTGTTTGCTCTGGGGTCTTGTTATGACACCTCAGAAGCGCTGTCTTAGACAATTTGCAAAGGAGAGAGTTAAAAACATCCTCCACAGCACGCTTCATTAAATCGCTCCACAGGCCTGCCACCACATGACGCTTCCAAGTGTCCGTAGCTTCCAGGAAGCGTAGGATGAATTAAACAAAGGTCAGCACATAAAATACAAGTGTCCCCAATTTCCTGTGGTGCCATTTTACGCTCTAAGTCTTTTCCAAAGCATTTAAAATTTACCTTACACACATAGAAACTCTATTGAGATAAGTATCTGAACAAGAAAAAAGCAGCAGTTGGTTACTCCAGAAAATTCTTTGGGATAAAGACCAAGAAGGATAAGAGGAAGGGGAGACGGAACACGCAGAGTCACAGACATTTCAGAGGGAGCTTACGGATCAAAGGCTGCCAGCAGGAAGTTTAACAGGAGGCTGATGGACTGCTCCACCTGGATTTGGTGTGTGGTTGGCATCCTTTTGTTGAGCTGGTAAAAGATGGTGGAGAGCACAGCCTCCAATCGGGCCACGCTGAGCTCCATGTTTGGGTCCACGTTGTTCAGAGCATTTTCTCTCAACGCTTCTATGACGTTCCAAATGTCCACCAGGTGCACTGTATACAATGAAAGCAGAGGACGCATCAGCCCAGAGTGCATGGAAAGGTAGATCCATTATTTCACATGTACCACTTGTCCTGTTTTGTCAAGGTGCCTCGGTATGTATTCCACTGCTGGGGGGGTTGACACTTGCAAAGAAAGGTACATACTGCAGGATCTCAAAGAGCTGATGTGCAACGTATAACAGCAAACCAATGATTTTATGAACATCACAGTAGAGAATTATTTCTGAACATCACAGTATTCTTAATAATCCGTTATTCTTCATAATAGATCTTTGGAATACTTACAATGTGAAGAATCTGAGGATCAAGAAAGTTAACTGACAAACACAAAGGTCCAAGGGAAGTCACCTGGCATTTGTATCCAGGTCTATCTGGCTTTTAAAAACATTGAGATAGAATTGCTATATAACACTGTGTAAGTTTCAAGTGATGATTTGATAATTTTTATATTGATTTGACACATTTCTATACCACAAGATGATTACCACCATACTGCTGGCTAACACACTGGGTCCCCTGATAGTCATTTCTCCTTTGTGGCAAGAACTTTTAAGATCTAGTTTCTTAGCAACTTTGAAGTATATAGTACTTGTGATTAAAATTAACAAGGCTATCTGGCCTTAAAGCACTTTCCCACTGGTACACACAGACCCCTGACAAAGAAAAACAACTCTTAAATTCTAGGGTTGAAAGGCTATCAGAAGTGCATTTGAGCATTTAAAATATTTTAATTTCTTTACATATTTTCAGTCATCTAAGGTTTGAAATAAGAAAAAAGGAAAAGTTAACGTAAGCAGGGGAAAAAGGAAAAGTTACCTCTTCAATGAAGCAGTAGAACTAAGGCACAGATGACTTAAAGGTCAAGAATAGTTTGTTGGTGCCATTGTTAGCAAGTGCATGTAAGTTAAGTCATGGTTACTTTTGCTAGGATAGTCAAGAAATTTGTTTCTGTGTCTTCTCTTCACCCCAAAGTCTTGTTATGACGTTCCCAGACACCATCACCACAATCAAGACAATGGACATGTGTATCACCCCCACAGGTCTCCTTATGTACATTCTCATCCATCCTACCACTCCATCCTGGGAAACCAAAGATCTGTTTTCTATCACAATTTCCTAGAATTCTATATGGCTGGAATCATACAATACGTACTCTTTTTTTTGTCTGTATCCTTTAAATTAGTGTAATGATCTTGAGAATTATCTATGTTGTTGCATGACAATAGTTCGTTCTTTTTTATTGCTGTATGGTATCCTATTAAATAGCTATACCACAAATTGTTTATCAACTCCCCTGCTGGTAGACATTTGGTTATTACGTCATCCAGTTATTGGTTATTATGAATAAAATTCTATGAACAATCATGTACAAAACTGTATAGACATATACTTCCATTTCTTTGGTAAATACGTAGAAACGAAATGGCTAGGTTGTATGGTAGGTGTATGTTTCATTATGAAACTTCCAAAGTGTTTTTTAAAATAGTAGTACTGTTTTACACTCCCATCAGGAGTGTGAGAGTTCTAAATTCTCCATATCTTCATCAAGTTTAAGGTTCACTTTTCATTACACTTTGATGTTTAAAAAATATGTTGTCTTTCTCAATGAAGTATTGGGTTGACCAAAAAGTTTGTTTGGTTTCTGAAATAAGATTTTATGGAAAAACCCAAATGAACTTTTTCAGCCAGCTCGATATAGACTTACGTTTTCATTCCTGAGAACTGTACACGCCACCTATGCTTTTCCACCAACAACTTTCAAGTTTTAGTCTCTTATCTCTTTGTTCACTTCTGACACTGTATTTGAAAAACAAAACTAACATCTATCAAGCTCCTGGACTTGAAGTTGAAATAAACACTGCATTTGGAGTCCAAAGACATAGGTCCAAATCTGGCTATTCTCCTACAAGTGCATATCCTTTAAGCCTTGACTTAGAGCCTCACTTTCCTCATCTGTAAAGTGGGGACTGTTGTTGTTTAGTTGCTAAGTCATGTCTGAGTCTTTTTGAACCCCATGAACTGTAGCATGCCAGTCTCCTCTGTCCATGGGATTTCCTAGGCAAGAATACTGGAGTGAGTTGCCATTTCCTTCTCTAGGGGATCTTCCCAACATAGGGATAGAACCTGCATCTCCTGCATTGGCAGGCAAATTCTTTGCCAGCGAGCTACCACGGAAGCCCGAAGTGGAGATGGTGTTCATTAAATGGAAAAAATGCTTGAAATCAAAAGTGGTAGTACCTGGTACATAGAGACAACACATTTTACACGAGCAAATGAATAACGTGAGTCATGTCGAAAGAAAAAGAAAATCTTTTTGGCCAATCTGTGTTTTGGAACAGAGGAACACAAATCACTTTCCAACTGAATTCCTAAAATATTTCTTAGATTTGGATAAATTCAGATTTCTGTGATTCCAAATTTGCAAACTTCTTTATTTATCACACAACAAATACAAATAATATATTTCTTAATGTTATGGATCCACTTTTTCAATTTAGCAAGCAAGGTACTCCTAGGGAGATGACATTATAAGTTGAATTTATTTATTAATTAAATTTCTTAAGGGAAATAGATGGGATTCCTATAATTATTCCCTATACATTTGGTCTACAAACCCTCTGACCTTGGCCTTGGGGATATCCAGGTACAGGATACAAAAAGAGCCATGATGATGAGATCTGGCCCATCGTCCTGGCTCTGGTGTGTGCCCAGGTAACTGTAAGGAGTAGGCTACTGAACCATTCTGATCCGGATCCTGGCTATGGATCACAAGAAACAGGCATTGGAGAAGAGGAATATGGACTCTGAACTTGAGCATAGGAAGGAGACGGCTACAAGGCAAGAAAGAAATGGCAGCTGGTGGAGGGATAGTCTACATACCTAGGTCTCTCCTGGGGAGACTCTGTCACAGCAGAAGGCTCTAGAATTCCCAGAAGTGGAAGAACACAGATGCATGCGAGTAACCAACAGACCAAAGGGAGGTTCTTGAAAGCAATTGAACCTTTGCTTGTCCAGCCTATCTTTTCTCTTCCAAACCCATTTCCTCTAGCGTTCCCTTCTATAGTGAATGGCACTAATCCCTGCCCCTGCCAGAACCTGCATTTCATCCCTGGGCCCCATATCTTACATGCTCTCAATGACCAAGTCCTATGGATCTATCTCATCAATGTCACTTTAATGCCTCTGTTTTCATGGACCTTTATCCCCATCACACAACTTCATCATCCACTCCTGTGACCACTAGTTCTCACTGGTTAAGTCAGTTCTTTTGTCTTTATTCTTTCTCCAGCCCAACCCTGGCTATACACTGGAGTCAGAGCTATATCGCTGAACCACAAATCTGACATGGCACTTGTATGATGCTGGAAGTCCTTTAGTAAACTTCCCATTCATTTGAAATTCAAACTCTTCAACATGTCTTGTGAAGTTGTTTCTGATCTGGCCTCATTTACTTCTCATCTGTGTTTCAGCCACCATAACTCAGTATCAATACCCCTTCCTCAAGGATGTCTTTCTGGATCCCTGCCTCCAGGTTTCGCACTCACCATACATGCCACTTTAGAACCCTGTTCTTTCCCATCACAGCATTTAGTGGACTCTATGTATGGATAAGTTGGTCACCTGTTTCCCTCTCTGCATTGTAATGCCACAGAAAAAGACTGCCTGTCGTGATAACCATTCATATCCCAAGCACTGTCACAGGGCCTCATACATCATAGGAGCTTAATGAATATCTGTTGGCTGAGTGAATGACAAGGAAATGACAATAGAGAAACAGGCTAAGGATGCACTTGATTGCTAAAGACGTGGTAGGTGTAATCATGAAGTATCAACAACATGAAGAATCATACAAGCACTGGATTGAATCTTAGGTATGCATGCCTGCTCAGTCGCTTCAGTCATATCTGACTCTTTGTGACTCTGTGAACTGTAGCCCATCAGACTCCTCTGTCCAAGGGATTCTCCAGGCAAGAATAGTGGAGTGGGTTGCCATGCCCTCCTCCAGGGGAGCTTCCTGACCCAGGGAACACATTTCTTGTGGTTCCTGCATTGCAAGTGGGTTCTTTACCGCTGAGCCACTTGGGGAAGCCACAATCTTAGGTACAGCATCAGTCAAATTACTTAACTTCCTTGAATCTTATCTTAGAAAAGTGGGGCTGATGATAATACTTCTCCTCTAATGATTACTATGAAGGTAAAAATGGGATGATGCCTGAAAACACTTGGAATAGGGAATATAACATAGGAAATAATACCATCCTATAATTAGACAAAACATCTAGAAATCATGTGAAAGTTATTAAAAATAAGTATGCTCAACATGGAAACTTACATTACCACATGTAAAATAGATAGCCAGTGGGAATTTGCTGTATGGCTCAGAAAACTCAAACAGGGGCTCTATCAATCTAGAGGGGTGGGATGGGGTGGGACATGGGAGGGAGGTTCAAAAGGAAGGGGATATATGTATGCCTATGGCTGATTCATGTTGAGGTTTGACAGAAAACAGCAAAATTCTGTGAAGCAATTATCCTTCAGTAAAAAAATAAATATGCTCCATATTTGTGTTTTTTACACATTTAAGATCACAATATAAGGAAAAATAAAATGCTAATTCTGAATGTGAGAATAGTTACATGTGACTGAAAGAAAGCTAGTTTTCATAATTATGTGCCCAGCACTGTGGCAGGTCTTGGGGACTCGATGGCAAGCCATAAAGATGCGGTTCCTGCCTCAGGGGCCAACAGCATGGTGGGGATACAGACCTGCCTCATGACCACACAGATAATCAGAAATCATGACTTACTGTGACAGACAGGGTGCCAGGTACAAAACCAGATTACTATATGGTTGTGAAGAGGCCACCAGAACAAGATAAGGTGGAGAAGCACTATAGCCACAATAATGACTCTGGTCTAGATGCTGAGACGTGGGTTTTAAACAGCACAGTGACATGATCAGTAATGCAGCTTAAAAATATCATTTCTGAC